CTGTCCTGCAGGGTCACTAGGAAGCAATTTGCCAGCATGCACTTGGTTTTAAGGAACCTAGATGTGACGTGAGAGTTAGGTGCCATCTGATGTCAGCGGCAGCACCTGATCTCATTTTGGTAGCATGCTGTAGAGAAAATCTTAATCCACCCATATTGAGTTCCAATTTAATAAGTTTTAAAACAGCTTATGTAACAATTTCAAGTGTTTCTTTCATAAACAGAGATGGCAAGAGAAACCTTCCTCCCACTTCTCCACAAAAACCGTTGACATAGTAACACGAGCTACAGGCGGCACCGGCAGCACACTGGAATTTAGCATGGACGGTATTCGAGTGCAGGTGGGTTTCATGACAGTTGTTCAATGGGCAAAATCGCATCTGAAAATCAAATTCACGTTACTGTTTGTCAAATGCCAGAAACATATCTGTAGAATCTCAGAGCAAAATTGAGACTATTCCCATATTAGAGTAACCCATAATTGAGTAGCCATGGAACAACATTTTGTTTTTTAAAGAGAGTTCCAATTAAACCAAAAAAACTCAACATCCCACTAAACATCACATCTCCCCCAAGTCCACTTGGTGGATTTTTATATCAGGTTTTGGGCTTGTGAGTTTGCATTGTAATTTACTCAACAAATATTCAGTACATCAGTGAAGGTTATGGGGGTGGGAGGTAACCCTTCCAAAGTGATTACTTCCTTTTACCGTCAAGAGGGCACCTACTAAGGTGACCAGATTTTAACATTGGTCAAGCGGGACACCATTGATAAAACTCATATCCTGGCGAAATAGCCACATGGCAGCCGAAAACCGTATACCCTAGCTTGTCATGCATTCATTCCAAAAATTGGGACTTTTTTAAAACGCCACAGGACGCAGGGGAAAATGGTTAAAAATCGGGGCTGTCCCGCCAAAAGTGGGACGTCTGGTCACCTTAACCTAGCCACAAGGTATGCAAGCCATCTTCAAAAACATCTGCAGGGTTGAGCACAGAATAGTTGAGCAAGGACAGTTATACTAGGTCTTTTGAGACCTTGAACCTAAAGACCATTTGAAATACCTGCACCTGAATTTGAACAAGGTCAAAGACAACCATACTATTCTCTGAGTATTGTTGGAAGACAAGGTGACTACCATAGCTACTACCATAGACAATCCCCAATCGGTGGCTTAAACAAAAGCATTTTGTCATGGGGTCCAAAGCAGGGTGTTGGCTCAGAGGGCTTTCTCTGTCAACTCCGGAGGAAGGTCCTATCTCTTCTGGGCTTCTGCTCCTGGGCAGTTTTCCTGTGAGCTGACAGCTCTTCCTGTCTCAGCTTTTCTCTCTTACTTGTTTCACCTCTTTTATGTCTCCAAAGAGGGTGACTTTAAAATAGACCTTAGAGGAATCCTGCCTCATTAACATAACAAAACACCTCACTCCCAAGTAGGGTAACAGCCACAGGGACCGCAGTTTGAATTTCCCGCACATGCTTTTAGGGGAGCACTATTCAGTGGGAGCTCTGGTGGCATAGTGGTTGGTTACACTTTGGGCTGTAAAGGTAAACTGCAAGGTCCACAGTTTGAAACCACCAGCTGCTCCTTGAGAGAGAGACAGGACTACAGTCTTCAAAATGATTCTTTTGAAGGAGGTGGCACAACGGGAACCCTCTCATGTCCCTCGAGTAGAAATACTCATTTCTATTCTTCCCAATCTTATATAGCCATCAAGGCCCAGCTGAAATCCATATTCCGCCTGCAGCCACTGGACGTTGTCCTCCTCTTTACATGGTGGTGGCTGTAGCATGTGCCATTCACTTGATTCTGATTCATAGGGATCCCGGAGGACAAACTAGACTGGCCTCTGTGGGTTTCGTCAGCTAACATTTTCACAGGCCAGGAGCCCTGGTGGGGTGGTGGGGTAAGGGCTTGGCAGCTAATCAGAAAGTTGGCGGCTCAAGCCCACCAGCCACTCCATGGAAAAAAGATGTGGCTGACTGCTTCCATAAATCCTACATGCTCGGCAACCTCACGAAGCAGTTCTACTCTGTCCTAGGGTCACTATGAGTCGGAACCGACTAGACACCCATGGGTTTTAGAATCGTTATGGACACAGAGTGCCAGGTCTTTTCACAGGATCGGTTCACACCCACCTTCCTGCAGCCAAGTGCGTAACCAAGGGCTCAGGCAACTCTCTCTCTCTCTCTATGTAACCACTAGCTCCGCCCACATCCATTTCCTTTATTCCTCCTCCACCTCCTCTAGCCAGACTGGAAGAACTAAGGGCAAACTTACTCAACCTCTCTTCTAGCTCAGGTTAGTCATGCCACATGGTGATGGTCAATGAGCTCCAACTGAAAACACGACTGAGGGACGTTTAAGAACATGTTTGTGCTGTCAAAGGGAAGGATACATGAGTGCCTGATGCCACTCCCTCCTGCTTCTTCCTGTGGATGCAGAATGGCAGCCACGAACTTGGAACCATGAGGAAAAGGCCAAGGGACAAGAGATGCCAGCCACAGGCAGAGCCTGCCTTTATTAAATTGTTAAACCAGTCACTTTCCTCTGGAGTGACTACATGGGGAAAATTTAGCCTCTGTTTGTCTGAGCACTGCTAGAGTTTCGATGGTTTCATTCCTTGCATCCCAAAGAATTGCTAACTTACACCCCCTATTGATGCGGCATGTCCTACACAGCCAGCTCTTTGAGTGCTAACTACGACGGGGCCTGTGAAAATTACAACTACTGTTTTATTTCACGACACCAACCTTATGAAGTGGGCACTATATGATCCCATTTTACAGCCAAGGAAGCTGAGGCACCAAGATGAAGTCATTACCGTAGAGCATAATAGTGCCCCGCCTTACATTGCTGTCTAGCGAGTTCGCGTTGTTCCCCCATGTGATTTTCAAGTCTGAGC